ATATGCTTTAGGCAAATATTTCCTTATCTTCGTTAAGATCAGAGTGATCCTAAAATGTCAAAGCATGCTGTGCTCTTTAGGAGTGCTTATTAAATTATTTGCATCATTGAAAAAGTCAATAAACAGCTGTGTGACTTTTTTGGTTGTCTCCAGGTACTGTGAATTATATTTTCAAAACGAGAGGCTATTTTTAAAATACTTGGCTTTTTTAATAGGTAACGCATGTACATAGACATAATTCAAAAGTTAGAAAAGGAAATAGAGTGAAAACTAAGTTTTCCTCCCCAGAGGCAGTCATGGGTTCTAGTTTCTCAAGTATTCTTCCAGAAATACTCTTTACATTAATAAACGTAAGTGATTCTGTATGGTTTTCCCCACATACAGCAGTATACTGTATGCACAGTTCTGTATCTTACAATTGTCCTTTAACCATATATTTTGGAGATATGTCCATATCCATATGTATAGAACTACTCAGTTCTTTTAATGGCCACATACATATTCCGTTGTGTGGAGGTACCACACTGACTTAACTGGTCTGCTGCTGTTGAGTATTTTGGTTGTGTTTCAATCTTTTGACGGATATGTTATTTTAAAATTATTTTGCTGAATGTTGCCAAACTGCTCTTTATTCAGGTGCACTGATTTACACACCCACCCTGCTCCAGCAAGGTCCTAGAGTTGGTGGGCTATATTTTGGTCATCTTTTTCATTGTTCTTTTTCCTCATTTCATCACTTAATTGTACATATCGGAAGAATCTTATAAAACAAAGATTTATCTCTGAAACCTCCCAACATATGTTCTGCGTCCGAAAGAAAGGGGTATGTTTTTCAGAGCCTACTGATTTGCTTGTTTCACAAGCACCCTGTTCTTAATGTATCGACGTTACGCCTGGGATGAAACCTTCCTCTACCCCAGGACAAAGAGTTAACCTCTGCAATCTACTCCGGAGAAGCAGCTCCGCAAGTTGGGTGTCCTGTCTTGGCATTGCAAGTCTTGGGCACTTACTTTATCTTTAAGAATTATTTCTTTATGATTTATTATTTATTAGAGGAATACTTCATTTGGTCTCCCCACCAGAATGTAAGCTCCCTAAGGGCAGAGACCATATCTTAGTTATTAAATCTTTTAAGTATCTCTAATCAGTTTTGACTCTTCAGTCCTCATCTGCCATGCCCATGAGCCCCATCCACCACATCAAGCCCCTCACTTTTCCCTCTTTGGGCTTCCTAATGAAGATAGAGGACAGTGGGTGTGAAGTCCCTCCAGCTGTCCTCCCAGCCACTCCCTTTCATATGAGCATCAACATCTTACCTCCTCCTTTCCACTTCGGTGGACCTGCCATTACTCCTACATAAGGTCTTGTGCTCTAGAATCCCATCCTTGCCTACTTCCTCATAAGTCTTACGGAGCGTCAGCCTCTCCTCATCCGGCGTCTTGGGCTGTGCGTGTATGCACTCCCTGTCTCATACAGATTTGCTCATACTTCTCATTATTTAAAACAAAACAGCAAGAACAAATCCTTTTCACTCCCTGGCCCCCTCTAGCCTCCTAGCTACCACCTTCTTTCTCCCCTTTAGAGCCAAGGTCTGGAAAGAATGATCTGCCCTTGCTGTCTCCATTTTCTCTCTCATTCACCTCTTACCCCATCCTAATCAGGCTTCTGCCCCTGTCATTCCATTGCAAAGACTCATCAGTCATCAAATCCAGCGGACGCGCATCTACCCACATCACACTCACCTCTCGGTAGCAGTTGGAATGATTGACAGTTCCTCCTCCTCCCCGCTAGGATGCTGTGAAACTCCCATACTCTCTTGTTGGACTCTCCCCAAGCCCGTTCCACCCCCAGACTGTGATAGTTCTCGGAGGCCCATCCTGAAAGCACTTCCTTTCTGTCTCCTATGCACTCTCCCCAAGCAGCTTATCTTTTCTCAGAGGACATGTGTTTTATGACTCCTCGATGTGTATGTGCAGCCCGGACTCCAGCCCTGTGGGCCCCACTGCTTCCTGTCCACCACTGCAGTCCCAGAGGCCCCTCACATTGCACGCCCCAAGTGAGCCATCTGCCTCCCCGCTCTGTTTCCCCCCTTCCTCCCTCCGCTCCCGTCCCTCCATCTCATAGTTCTTACCATTCTAGTTCAAGCTACAAACATGAAGACTGTCCTTCCTCCTTGACTATACTCTCCTACACCAACCACGTCCAAGCGCTCACTAGGCTGGGAATTTCGCCTCCTCGGTAGTTGGTTCTTAGATCTGTCATCCCTTTAAGTTCACTGCCCCTGCCTTAGTGCCGGGTCTTGATTATCTCTTACCCTGCCCAAGACGATAGCCTCCGATCTTGTCTCTCTCAAATATATTCTCACTATTGGCAATATCTTCCTGAAACTCAAATTTGAACATGGCCCTCCTTGGCTAAGGTTCTTCGGTGGCCTCCAAACCCATAGGATACTATTCACACCCTTCAGTGAGACCTGGACTCACTGAAGACCCTCAGTGAGACCCCCTAGCTCTTCACCTTCATCTGCTGCCTTCCTCTCTCACTTGTCATCTCCTCTCCACCTACTTTAGTTGCTTGTACCGTGTTCTTCTGCATTTCCATGCATTTGTCGTGCTGTTTCTTCTACCTGGATGTCCTTCCCTTCCGTTTCCCGCCCCCTGCCATCTGGAGAAATCTTTCATGGTTTCATGTTTTCGGTGACTGCCTCTTCTGAGTTCACTGAGCACCTTGTACGGGTCTCGATTACGGAACCCATCTCAGTGTCTTATAGAGGTTTACTTGGCTGTCTCTTCTACTGTACTGGGAATTATTTGGGTCTAGTGATACTTTGTTCTTCTTTGGATCCCCAGTGCCAGCATAGTGGCTGCCATGTAGAAAGTCTCTATGGATGCCCTTGAATGAATGGGAAGGAAATTGAAGAAAGGTCTGGATAGCTTACATTTAAAAGGGAGCCTTGCTATTGCTTTTTTTGTTTTTTATTTTTTTGCGGTACACAGGCCTCTCACTGCTGTGGCCTCTCCCGTTGCGGAGCACAGGCTCCGGACGTGCAGGCTCAGCGGCCATGGCTCACGGGCCCAGCCGCTCCACAGCATGTTGGATCCTCCCAGACCAGGGCACGAACCCATGTCCCCTGCATCGGCAGGCAGACTCTCAACCACTGCGCCACGAGGGAAGCCCCTTGCTGTTGTTTTTAAAGCACAAAGGGAAATTTTTTTTCACTTAACCTAGATGAAACAGCGTATCTCCATTGTCCTCTGCACAGCCCCCTTTTATACTTCAGAGTCTGATTCAGAACCTTCAGCAAGGTGTCTGACCCTTCATGAAGGAGGTGTACCAGCTGATACTAAGCCTAGGTAGCTACATTCTGTCAATGCTTCAGGGCACCTCCTCTATACTCTCCATTAAGATTTCAGTCTAGAAATCCCTGAAGGTGTTGGTAAACATTATCTCACTTTTCTGCCAAAAATAATGTTCAGCCACTCTCTCTTGACTCTGACCTTCTATAGTAGTGTAATCCTCCTTACCAAATTCATCCATCCTTCAGTATTGCAGTCTGAAGAACACCCACTTTTCCCCTTTGGCTTTGTCAGTTCTTTGTGTTATAAGGGCAGGATGTTTAAAGGTGAAGTCATTGACTTGCAAAATGAGAAACCGTTTTGGAGAGCATCTTGTTTATACTCTGCAAATCAGAGTGTGTTAACACCAAGGTAGCTGGTAGTTTTTATGTCGTTCTTACCAAGATATTAAAATAATAGCATTTATCCAGCATCAGAATATCCCAGAGAACTTCAAAATCCCCAGAAAGTCCCTTGAGAGGTGGGCAGGAATTATTGCTCCCATATTCATATATGGACAAGTAGTGCAAAGAAAGACCAAGGCAACTCCATGTGCCTTAAATTAATAAAGCATGAAACGTTAACATGTAGGAAAGCTAGGTGAAGGTTATGTGGGATTTTTTCCAGCTTTATTGAGATATAATTGATACATAACACTGCAAGTTTAAGGTGTAGAACATCTTGATTTGATACATTTCTAAATTGCAAAATGATTACCACCACTGTATTAGATGCCAGCTGCATCCAGTCACATAGTTACCATTTCTGTCTTAGCTGGTGAGAACATTTAAAATCTGTTCCTTTAGCAACATTCAAGTATGTATATGATACGGAATTAGCTATAATCACCATGCTGTACATTAGATCCCCGGAACTTGTTAATCTTTATAACTTGAAGTTTGTACCCTTTGACTAAAATCTCCCCATTTCCTCCACCCCCTCAACCCCTGACAGCCACCACTCTACTCTGTTTTTCTGAGTTTGTCCTTTTTAGATGCTACACAGAAGTGAAATCATTCAGTATTTGTCTTTCTCTGTCTGGCTTATTTCACTTAGCATAATGCATCCAAGTTGTTGCAAATGGCACGATTTCCTTCTTTCCCGTGGCTGAATAATATTCCATTGTATGTATATATGGCATCTTCTTTATTCAGTCATCCACTGAAACTTAGGTTGTTTCTCTATCTTGGCTATTGTGAGTAATGCTGCAATGAACATGGGAGTGCAGATATATCTTTAAGTTCCTGATTTCAGTTTCTTTGGATATATGCCCAGAAGTAGGATCGCTGGATCATACTGTTAGTTCTATTTTTAATTTTTTTAAGGAAACTCCATACTGTTTTCCATAGTGGCTGTACCAGTTTGCACTCTCACCAACAGTGCACTAGGGTTTATTCAGAAATTCTTTAAACTAAGTTTCTAATATTTTTATGTAACTGAAATCATGTCAAAATGAAAGGGAAAATAAACATATTAATCAAGCAGAAAAAAAACAATAGTTACTAAGAGAAGTGAGCAGTAAGATCCATTTTCCAGTATTTACTTGATTGTTTTCCATCTCTGAGGATACAGCAGTCACTGCTTCCAAGTCCATAAATCTCATTGGTGAAGAGATCAGCTGAGATTGCTCCTAACGCTGGGGGTCCCTCTCCTGTGTCTCCCCAGGCGCAGTGAACCTGCGGGCCGACCTCATTCTTGGCATTCAACCAAATTTGGGGAGAATCAACCCGATGCCAGCATGATGCAGATATCTCAGGGCACGATTGGCACTCCTTGGCCCCAGAGCTACCATTCCAGGTAAGTGGCCACAGCTGAGACCCAGGGGCTTCTTACTTTCAAATGTCCTGTTCCCAGAAAAGATTGTTTTCTTATACTTATCTTGAGTATTAAGTCTCTCTTCTCACTATCCTCATCCTCTTAAAACCCCTAACGGTGTACGAGTCATCGTCATATCCTGGGCTAGACTGGCATGAAGGGAGGACAGGATTATTTTGAACACTGACTGCTCATTTGAGATATTCATGGGGCCTGTTGATTCTCAGTCAGACATTTCTCAATTACACGTTATAGCTATACTATAGCTCTACTATAGCTCAATTACATGTTTTTCTATACTAGAAAAACTGACAACTCCCTCCCTCAGTGCTTAATGTCCTTTCTTCAAATATGTATCTTGTTTTTTAAACTAATTTTTATTGGAGTATAGTTGCTTTACAATGTTATGCTAGTTTCTACTGTACAGCAAAGTGAATCAGCTCTACGTATATACATATCCCCTCTTTTTTCGGATTTCCTTCCCATTTAGGTCACCACAGAGCATTGAGTAGAGTTCCCTGTGCTATTCAATAGGTTCTCATTAGTTATCTATTTTATACATAGTATCAATAGTGTATATATTGTCATTCCCCATCTCCCAATTCCTCCCACCCCACCCCCTTCCTCCTTGGTATGCATATGTTTGTTCTCTATGTCTGTGTCTTTTTCTGCTTTGCAAGTAAGATCATCTATACCATTTTTTTAGATTCCACATATATGCATTAGTATACGGTATTTGTTTTTCTCTTTCTGACTTACTTCACTCTGTGTGACAATCTCTAAGTCCATCCTCGTCTCTACAAATGACCCAATTTCATTCCTTCTTATGGCTGAGTAATATTCTACTGTATATATGTACCACATCTTCTTTATCCATTCCTCTGTATCTGATTTTTATCTGAATGATTTTATTCAGTATCTGAATGATTTTATTCAGTATTTGAACTCCCCAGTTGGTTTTTCTCCTTCTGTGAAAGCCAGTTATCCAGCTTAGCTCCAGTCAAAGCAGTTAACACACCGAGGACTGCTCAGTGTATACACCATCTCGTGTGGTCCTTCCTATACACCCTTGAAACAGATACAGTGTTCTTAACTCCATTTCGCAGGACAGGATATTGAAGCTGGAAAGATGGCTTTGTCCAAGGTCAAACATTGATCAGTACCCAAGTCAAGACTCAAATCCAAGCTAGGTTTCAAAGCCGTTGCATGTAATCTCCTATACTTCCTCTACACCAGTTATACTAGTTATTCTTCCTCTGCTTTTCTAGTCACTATATCCGTCAAGGTCCAGTCAGGGAAAAGCAGAGCCATCACGGGTATTACAGGAGAAGGGATTTATTATAGTAATCAGACCTTACACAAGTGAAGGGGACTGGGGAGAAGGGAGCCAAGCCTGACCGCCCACTTAGTTCTTTATATTAAAGAGCTAAGTCAGGGGCTTCCCTGGTGGCACAGTGGTTAAGAGTCCGCCTGCCGATGCAGGGGACATGGGTTCGTGCCCCGGTCCAGGAAGATCCCACATACCGCGGAGTGGCTGGGCCCGTGAGCCATGGCTGCTGAGCGGCTGGGCCCGTGAGCCATGGCTGCTGAGCCTGCGCGTCCGGAGCCTGTGCTCCGCAGCAGGAGAGGCCACAACGGGGAGAGGCCACAACGGTGAGAGACCCGTGTACCGCAAAAAAAAAAAAAACAACTAAGTCAGGACGCCCCTACATTTACTATAGACTTGGAGCCATGCAAATTGGAATCCATCTTCTGAGCCCAGGGAGGCAGGCTCTGTCACTTACCACTTTTTTGGAAGTACTTGGATATATAGGTTATGGTAGGGAGGTAGGAAAGTCAAGGTAATATGGGTCCCGCATACAAATGAGATGCAAGGGCTTGTCTGTGTCAGGGAGTGGAGGATGTTTCTGGAAGGATTCCTTAACTACCAGGCGGTGGGTACGCATTTGGCGAGGACTCAGAACCCCTAACACTCATGTCTGGTCAAACCAAAGGCCAAATCCTAGAGCTCTGACTGGTGGGCATGGCTCCCTCCACGTTAGAATACCTTCCTGGTTACCCTCCTTGTTACAGGCACTCCTCTCCCTTGCCCGTGTCCCTCCCAATAACCCTGAAAGAATTTCTTCTCACCATCTGAGCCATGTGTGCTCCGGGAACAGAGCTGCCAGCAGTGCCCACGCCCCGTGCAGGCGCAGTGCTTTTGCTCTGTGGGCACAGCGGTGTTGAAGGCCTTTAGAAGGTTAGATGCAGGGGCCTAAGAGTGTGAAGGAGGGACAGCACGATGGTGAGCTACTTGGGCTTTTAAGTGAGACCTCAGTTTAAATCTCCACTTCACCGCCTACTGCATGAGCTTGAGCCGATCACTTCACCTCTTTGATCTTGGTTTCCTTGTCTGTAAAATGAAATTCAGAATACAGATCTCATTGGCTCGTAGTGAGGATTAAGCAACATAACATATGCAAAACATTTAGTGTAGTTCCTGAAACATAGTGAGCACTCAGTAACTATGAAAACTAATTATAATAATTAGGCTGAAGACTTGTCATAGGTACAGTGAAACCTAGTAATGGACTACGTTAGTGGCATAAACCGGCACACACTTATAAAATGCAGGAGTGTATTAACAGGGTACCCCTAAACAGTGGGGCCCTTTGGAGCCTCCTAACCGCTAGCCTTAGGAGGCCCTAAATCTGAAGTCATACTGTGACCTAAAATACAAGCTTGTCCAAAGGCAGAAATAAGACGACTGCAATCAGTGCTTAGAATAAGTGCTCACAGTAACTAAGGTGAGCTCCAAGAGGCCTCAGGAGAAAGATGGCGTTGGCATCAGAAGTGCAATATTCTGAAGGCTCTGCTTCTCTACCTGCTGTTTCCTCCTCATCCCAACCTCCAGAGGCAGGTGGATCTTGTACTGTACCTACCAGTCTGTCATCTAATTCAAGCTTCAGCACAGCCTCCCGCTGACACAATGACTGTCAGCACAAAAGCTCTGTGGAGGAAGAGAGAGGGAGAAAGGGAAGCTCGGGTTACCCAGCTCCTACTGCAGCCCAGAGCATCCTGTGGTCTGTTCATTCCATGCCTCGGTCTTGCAGCTCTGAGTTCTGCTCAGAGGGTCAGCCCTTGGCAGCTGTAGACGGAGAAGCTCTCCTGGCACGTTTCTGAGGAACACAGTGGCATCTAGTGGTCTGGTGGGTGGCATTCCTCTGACAGCCTTCTGACAGTTCCAGAAACCAGGAATATTACCTAAATGTGTGGATCTGCTTCTCATTAAGAAGCAGGAGAAAGAGGGAGCTCTAGGGTTGGGGAAGGGCAGGAGTGAGGAGAGAGGGAGAGAGAAGTTCAGAGAGACTGGAGACGTAATTTTCACTGTCCGCAAGCTAGCTTGGATCTGGAATTCCACCGAAATTGTATTTCAGCTTCTTTCTGTCAGGTCCTTGTCACTGCCTTTTTGCTGTCATACAGAAATCTCACAATGGTCCTAAAGTATTAGGACTTCTAAAGTCCTATGTACTTTAGAAGAAACTTTGAAAAGTCATGTAGTCTGGTCCCCTCCTAAGAGGCTGACATAACAGTATCAAAATACTAAAGAACCAGTATGTGTTCATTGATTCACTCCTTCAGCAAATATGTGGGGAATACCCACTACGTCTCAGATAAGTTCTGATTATTGAGGGTACAAGACTGAACGAGACATAAAAAGCCCCCAACCTGCTGTATTTGTTTCCCCAGGTGTGTTCCATGGAATAATAATCCATTAGATACTCCTTGGGAAAAAGTTTCTAGGGTCACATAAGTTTAGAAAACACTGCTTAGTATATTTTCCTTTAAGAACATCACATGAGCAAGTTTATTAAGGACTCAGGAGTCTTAAAGTAATTACAATTATTTAAGTCATCTAGTCCAGTATTTTCCAAACATATTTGGTCACCTAAGCAATTAATATTCTGGGAATACACTTTAGGAAATGTTTGCATACACTTGTGCTTTTTGCTGTGGAAGTATTTAGAAAATATTAATACTTTCAAACAGAGGTGATGTGATGTCAAGTAGTGGTAAGTGCCATGAAGAAAGTAAAGCAAAGTAACAGGGAGTAAGGACAGAAGAGGTGCTTTTTAGTGAGTAGCAGGAAGTCTTCTCTGATGCAGAGACTTGAATAAGGGGAAGGGATTGCGCCAGGTGAAGAGCATTCCTTTTTTGTGGGAACAGCGAGTACAAAGGCCCTGAGACCCTGAAGTGGGAATGTATTTCATGGGTCATTTATTTATTTATTTATCTATTTATCTATTTATTTATTTATTTATTTTTGGCTGTGTTGGGTCTTTGTTGCTGCGTGCGGGCTTTCTCTAGTTGCGGCGAGCGGGGGCTACTCTTCGTTGCGGTGCGTGGGCTTCTCATTGCAGTGGCTTCTCTTGTTGCAGAGCATGGGCTCTAGGCACGCGGGCTTCAGTAGTTGTGGCTCGCGGGCTGTAGAGCGCAGGCTCGGTAGTCGTGGCACGTAGGCTTAGTTGCTCCGCGGCACGTGGGATCTTCCCAGACCGGGGCACGAACCCGCGTCCTCTGCATCGGCAGGCGGACTCTCAACCGCTGCGCCACCAGGGAAGCCCACCATCTGTATTTTAAGATATGTTGGTGGTGGCATTTCGTCCCACTCAACAGTGTTACAGTAAACCCATCAGTTTATTCACTTTGATTTTTTTTTTGCATGCTCCTAAATTAGATTTGAATTACCCTTTTAGTGAAACACTGCTAAAATTCTTAGCAGTTGGGAGGAGGATTAAGTAGTGTCTACCACCTGCATGGAATTGATGAGCAAAACAGCCCTTGTGGGGTCTACTGCTTCCATGTGCCCTCAGAGTATTAGCTCTTGAGTCTTCTGTTAGAGGAGATAAAGGGAAGCACAAGCGGGTCATATGGGATTATCCTCAACTGAGCCATGTCATGTGCATTTTCAACACAGCCTCTTCATTTAGAGGGGAGTGGGAGTAAAAACTGGCAGTGACATATGCCATGCCACTGGGTGCCAGGACTGACTTCCCTAATCTGGTTGGCTCAGGAGCTGTTCCCTTCCTTTCTCCCTTGAATTTATACCTGTCCCTCCCAAAGCAGGATGCTCCATTCAGTAAGTTCACTTCCCTTGATAGAGAAAATTATTCTTAGGGTGAGTTGCTGAAAATCTAAGTCTTCTTTTCCTTGAATTCCAGCACCAGTTTTGACTCAGCAGGTGATCCTTCTATAGTCTCTTCCCATATACTCTGGAGACAGTCCAGCCACAAAGCATTATCACATACTCAGCCATTAAGACACCATAATTACTTACATGAGATCTAGAAATATAATAATAGCTCCGTGAATTTTAATAGTGTTTAAATGCCTATTCATTTAAAAATGGAAAACCTCAGGCAAGAGCTCTTAGTTCTTCTTTTCTCTTCTTTAGAGAATAGTGAGTCACAAATGTTGAACTCTTGAGACCGCTGTTTGATTTTTGAGCTACTTACTCCTTCCCATGTCCATGTCCTCTCTCCCCCAACATGCTGGGGTGAAGTATATTTTGATTTTATAATTAAAGCTAATTATAAGTAATTCTGTCTTATGGCAACTTTCTGGGGTGTATGATGCCAGGAGTGAGAGTCACTCCCCCTCCCCCAGGCAGGCTCTGAAAATCACCTGGACGAGCTCGTGAAGGAGGTCTTACCCTCTAGTGTATGAGGCTTTGCCCAGATTCTGGGAAGTTGTCCGTGGGTGATTGGCTCCCAGCACCCAAGAGCCTCCTATGATTAAAGCTTCTTATCCAGCCTGCCTCTCCTTCTCTCTCATCCGCTTTTTCTAACTCTATAATATTCTCTCAGTATTTCTCTTTCAGTTTTGTGTTTGGCTCTCTCCCCACAAACAAACTGTCTCTTGTACAGTTGAGATTCCAGGAAGATTGCCAGGGAGTAGCCCTCCAATTCTATAAAAAGGAAAGATATTAACTAAAACCAAGGACACGTGCAGAGTCTCCCTCACCCACTCACGTGCCTGGTCTCTTACTAAGCTCTCCCCTTCTCCCCACAGACGCCCCAAGAGACATAAAATGTCAGTCTCCGTCACTCTTCCTCCTCTTTCCTCGCCCACCTCTCTCATTTCTTGGCATGTGCAGAATGTCACTTCCGGCATGGAGCACATCCCATCAGTGTGCCGCCCGTGTCCAAGGGCCGCGTGGCTTCCTCGTGCTCCCCGCTTCTCCCTCGGCGAGCCTGGGTGATTGATTAGCGGCACATGGGTTGCGGCGTTGGGCAGTTACTCCTAGTGATGACACGTAGGGAGGCTGAGCAAGGCCCAAATATGGCCCTTTCCCCCCAGCCTTCCAGAAACCAAACATCTTTCCCAAGGGTACATTTATAGGCTGGGTCCCGTGCCTGTAAGCCTGCTGAATGATACAGACTCCCTGCTGACCGCTCTGCCTCCCTTTCTTCCAGCTCCTCTACCAGGGACCTCTCCGGCTATGACCATGCTTATCTGAGGCGGAGCCCTGACCGGTGCAGCTCCCAGGGGAGCACGGACAGCCTGGAGCCCAGCGGGGGATGCCCGCCCTGCCACCCTCTCTCCCCGGCCAAGTCTACCAGCAGCATTGAGCAGCTTGGCCACCTCCATAACAAGAGAGACTCGGCTTACAGCTCCTTCTCCGCCAGTTCTAGCATCCTCGAATATCCGGCGCCCGGCATCTCTGGCCGGGAGCGTTCAGGCTCCGTGGACACCACTTCTGCTCGAGGTGGCCTCCTAGAAGGGATGAGGCAGGCAGACATTCGCTATGTTAAGACAGTCTATGATCCCCGGAGGGGGGTCTCAGCAGAGTATGAGGTGAACTCATCAGGCCTGCTCCTGCAAGGTAAGGAGGCCCGAGCATTGGCAGATGGTCAGGGCTATGAGAAATGGCATAGTGTTCCTCGGGGCAAGGAAGCACCACCCCCCTCCTGGAGCCAGCACTGCCCCAGCTCCTTGGAGACCACCGCGGACAACTTGCCTCCTAAAGTGGGCGCGCCCCTGCCCCCAGCTCGGAGTGACAGTTATGCGGCCTTTCGGCAGCGAGAGCGGCCTGGCTCCTGGTCTAGCCTTGATCAGAAACGGTTCTGCCGTCCTCAGGCAAACTCTGCAGGCACCCTGAAATCTCCCTTCATAGAGGAACAGTTGCATACTGTGCTGGAGAAGAGTCCAGAAAACAGCCCCCCAGTGAAGCCCAAGCATAATTACACCCAGAAGGCCCACCCTGGCCAACCTCTGCTGCCGACTGGCATCTACCCGGTACCTTCCCTGGAGCCACACTTTGCCCAGGTGCCCCGGCCTTCCGTGAGTGGTAACGGCACCCTCTACCCTGCGCTGGCCAAGGAGGGCGGGTATCCAGCTCCGCAGGGAGCTTGCGACACAACGGCCGCCCTTGATGAGAATGGGAACCAAAGTGGATCTAGCAGGCCTGGCTTTGCCTTCTGCCAGCCCCTAGAACATGACTCAGTGTCCCCAGGAGAGAGGAAACCTGAAGTTTCAGCCAAATGTGTCCCCTACAAAGTCCATTTCCTCTCAGTGCCTGAAAACGAGGAGGAGACCTCCCTGAAGAGACTTCTCACACCTCTCCAAGGCGACAGCCCACATCCCAGTGAGAGAAAGAGCACCCAGGGCAACAAATATTCTAATTACCACAGCCTCCAATCCCCTCCGGCTCAGGCCTGGCAAGTGGGTGAAGACAAGAGATCTTTCCTGCCCTCAGAGCCTTGGGAGGGGGATTTCCATGAAGACCACAATGCCAACCTCCGGCGGAGGCTCGACAGAGGCAGCCTGGGCCAGAGCATGCCAGGCAACTTTGGCAAGACCACATCTGCCTTCTCCTCCCTCCAAAACATTCCTGAGAGTCTAAGAAGGCAAAGCAGCCTGGATCTAGGAGGGGGAGCCCAGGAGATCTACCTGGAAGGCACGTCCACCTGTACAGTCAGCACCAAGGCAGAGGACTCTGGAAGGACTGTTGTTCCTGATCACAGGAGCCAGCTGGACAGGTCAGTTTCCTATCCCAGGCCTGAGGGGAGAACCAGTGCCTTGGCTTCGTTCCACAGTTCAGACCCAAGGTATGAAGAGCTGCCCTCCCCGCCCCCGCAGGAGACATCCAGTCTGGGCCGAAGGAGGCTCAGCTCCAGCAGCACCTCGGCTCTGCAGGGCTTTCAGTATGGGAAGCCCCACTGCTCCGTGCTGGAGAAGGTTTCCAAGATCGAGCAGCGAGAGCAAGGGAGCCAGAGACCCCCGAGTGCGGGCAGCTCTAGTTACGGTTATAACCACAGGCCCAACCGGACACTCCCAACTTCTAATACTTTGGGGAATGACTTGGAGGAGACAAAGGCCCATATGCGTTTTTCCGAATCCATTGAACCCCTAGGCAATGGGGAGCCGCACTGCAAAAACGGGGAGCCGAAGTCGGAAGAGGTTTCCTGGCAGCCGTGTGGTCAGCAGCCGAGGCGGGACGCTCGCCTGCTCCGCAGCCAGAGCACCTTCCAGCTCTTCAGCGAGGCGGAGGAGGCGGCCGTGTGGCCCGATGACCGGCCCCGCACGCCAGAGTCGCTCGTGCAGGATGCCCCCTTCAGCCGCGCCTACCGGAACAGCATCAAGGATGCGCAGTCCCGCGTCCTGGGCGCCACCTCCTTTCGACGCCGGGACCTCGAGCCGGGGACGCCCACAGCCGCCAGGCCCTGGCGGCTGCGACCCGCCTCCGCCCACGTGGGGCTGCGGAGCCCGGAAGCGCCGACTTCCGCCTCTCCGCACACTCCGCGCGAGCGGCACAGCGTGACCCCGGCCGAGGGCGACCCTGCCCGGCCCGCGCCCCCCGCCGCCCGGAGGGGGCCCCGCCGGCACCTGACCCCTGAGCAGAAGAAGCGCTCGTACTCGGAGCCCGAGAAGATGCACGAGGTGGGGGTCTCGGAGGAGGCCGAGCCGGCGCCCCCGGGCCCGCCAAGGAAGGGGCCACAGTTCGCGGAGAGCTCCGTGGCTGACCGGCGCCGCATCTTCGAGCGAGACGGCAGGGCCTGCTCCACTCTCAGCCTGTCGGGGCCCGAGCTGAAGCAGTTCCAGCAGAGCGCGCTGGCCGACTACATTCAGCGCAAGACCGGCAAGCGGCCCGCTGCCGCCGGCGGCGGCCTCCAGGAGCCTGGGCCGCTGCGGGAGCGCGCCCCGAGCGCCTACCTCCAGGCCGCGCCCGAGGGCCCCAGCCTCGCTGCTGCCTCCAGTCTCTCCTCTCTGCGGGAGCCCAGCCTGCCGCCCCGCAGGGAGGCCGCCCTCCAGCCGGCCACCGCGGAAGGGGGTGGCGGGGAGCCGCCACGGGCCCCCCGAGATCGCAGCAGCTCCTTTGCCGGCGGCCGCCACCTCGGGGAACGGCGCCGCGGAGACCAAGCCCCGAGAGAACTGCTCAGTGGAGCTAACAGCGGTTCAAAGGGCCCCCAGAGGCTGGACAGGACCCCTGGGGAGCCCTCTCCGTGGGGGTCCGCGGCCGGGAGGGCCGGGAAGTCCATGTCGGCCGAGGACCTGCTGGAGCGCTCAGGCGTCCAGGCCATCCCTGTCCACATGAGGTCACGGTCATCTCCCACCGCAGACAAGCGCCAGGTATGTGCAGCCAGCGGGTCCTAGCACTGCCCCTTGCATCCTGGAAGCCTTAGTGCGACTTCTCTAACCTCTCCTCTCCCCTTCGTTTTCCTTTTACACGCAAGAGAGTAGCATTCGTTTTCATAAGGTGCTGTCTTTCTCAGTGCCCCTGTTTGATGAGATCATTACAGAGATACAGATATATAGTACGTAGATATCGATACAGTTGTGTAGATATCTTATGTAGATACATGTATTGTATACCAATATAGATATCTATACATATATATGAGTGTGTATCAGTGGATATAGATGTATATGTGTACACACACACACAGTAGGCCTCGTATTCCTGGTCCTGCACTGGAATGGAAAATATTGGGAAAATTCCAGAAAGCTCCAAAAAGCAAAATTTGAATTTGCCAGCACACTAGCAACTATTTACGTAGTATTTAGATTGTAAGTAGAGATGATTTAAAGTATACAGGAGGATGTGTGTAGGTTATATGCAAATACTATGCCATTTTATCAGTATAGAGCATCAGGTGGATTTTGGTATCTGTCCCTGGGGGGGGGGGTCCTTGAGCCAATTCCCTGGGGATACTGGGAAGACAAGTGTATATAATATATATACATGCATACATATATAGTATGTATGTATTATATAGTATATACATATATATATAAAATAACTTCATTTTAGTGTCACCCACTTCTCAGTGTAAGAATTAGATTAGGAAAATTTAGGGGTTATCTTTTTGTTTCGGGGTTTTTTTGCGTTTTGTTTTTTTGTTTGTTTTGCTTCTTTTCTCTTTTTTTAAGTTCATGCAATAGAGGCTGTGTCTCAGTATTTTAAAGACGTTAGCTTCATACCTTCTTTGTTTCTATTGGACTTTTGCATTTACAAAATAAGTATAGTTATTGACTTTGATAGTTGTTGGTTATTGAGCTCCAGGCCTTCAACTAAGTATGCTTTTATGTTTATTATCTCATTAATCCTCAAAATAATCCTATGTGGTGGAGTACATTATCCATATCAAATCCATGTCTCTCTGCCTCTTTCTGTGTACTATCGTGGTGAGATAGGAGAATGTCAGACTTTCCAATTCTCTCATAAGGTCTCCAGACTATGAAAAGATCACGAGGCGCTTTCCACTGGAAATTTTAGGCGGAGCTAGGAGTAAAATCCGAGCACTCTGACTCCAGGAGTCTATCAGTTCCCCTAATTCTTAGCCCATTCTCAAGCTCCACATGCACTGCAAGTCGATGTCCTGCCTCATGGTTCCCTTGCCAGGTAAGAAGATGCGAGGAATTCACATATATGTTACCACAGGGAAGAATACCCCTCCATTGTCCCTTCTCAGATTCTGTTTTCCCCAGCAGAGAATGTAATCATTTAGCAAGCATTTGTAGAGCGTATGTTTTACGAAAAGGACTGCTTATAGGTTTAAAGGAAACGTAAAGGAAAATAAGGGTCATGCCTTTCTGGGGTTCACAATTGAGCAAAAGAGTATGAACTTATATATAAATAACTAACACGAATAGTGAATGCTTTGGGAGTGGTCATAAATAAGATGTTATGGGAGGGATAGTAATTCTGAGAGGATCTAAGAGAGCATCTCTTGAAGGAGAAGGGATATGAACCAGGCTATAAAGGATGAGCAGGATGTTGACAAAGAGTTGGAGGTTGTGTGGGGGAGGCATTGAGTTGGAGGAAACAGCTTCGGACAAAGAAGAGTTAGCCATTACTGTCTGAGACATCTGTCTGCTGCACTGTTTCTGCAACACACATACGCACAGCATTGTGAGAAAATACTGCTCCCTCCCAGATATTTTCTCTTCAGAAATATTTTCTCCCCAATATAACACACACACACACACACACACACACACACACACACACACACACACACACACACACACACACACACACACACACACACACACACAGTCTATAGAGGCAATCCTCCATAAGCCTCCAGTAGCTGTTTTTCACCCCTTAGCGTGAAGAACAGAGCTAATTTCCAGTCCTTATCCTACACCTAAGACGCTTTTAAAATCCATATGTGTAACATGCCATTTCAGCCAGTTTGATGGGCTTCGGAAGCTCACCACATAACAGAACAAATATTTTCTCTATTTCTCTCCCGATGTCCTGAAGAAAATAGAAATGCTTAGGTGAAAACTAAATCATCTTCTGATCGATGTCATTATTCTTTCTTGGGGAATTTGTTGGATGGTTATGAATGTTATTTTGCCCTTCCAGATATTTCTCAAGCCTGGTAAACTGGGAAATAGAGCTAAAACATAGGCAGTATAGAGAAATGATCCCAATTAAATCCCAATTATTTGGTATTATTTGATAAACTTTCTAGAAAGACAGCTAAATACAGAACATTATTTATGTTCTCTTTAATAAAGGGAGTACCATATTTAGAAATTATTTAACGGGAATATGATGCCAGAGGGGGGAAATGTTTCAATGTGAAATACTTTATCTGCGCTGCTTTGCTCCTACAAATTCTGAAAATAGGTTATCATCCCCTAGATTGCAACTGCATCAAGACTGTGTTCTTAGGCTTCCTCCTTCATTCCCTGGCTCAGCAGCTGCATGGTGCCTGCCCTGAGACTGGTCCATGGCAAGGTCTGCCTCTCGCATCTTCTTCATACACCCATTATCTACCTTAGTTGTAGAACTAGTGAAAAGCAAAATAAAACTAGTCTCCACATAATTATTGTGGTTAATATTTTAAGATATTATTATTTATTTGAATAAATTCCAGGAACTTTTACCATTAAGCTTTAGTGAAGGTGTTAAATGACAATTTTTCTCATCCCAGCTTTAGAGGACTCTGAGAAATTAAGTGACCCTGTAGCGACTAAATCATCTGGTTGAGTTAAACCCAAAATACGGAGTCTGTTTCTGGTGCTGGCTCAGTCCGAGGCATCCCGAACAAACGCTGCTTGCTCCTGCCAGGTAGATACTAATAGAGCAGGATTTTGCAAGCTTTGGGCAAGGATTCAGCTCCTTTTCAAAAGTCCATTAGTGAGGATAGTTTTTGCTTCCAAAACAAGGTCAGCATGGAAATCAGTTTCTCTGTTTATAAAACTTGATCATTCTTGGGCCTGAAACGATGACTGTAGAAGGCTGCCACCTTTTGTAGCCTGAGACCTGCTCAGACACTTAGCACCCCTGGGCCTTTCCTTAGCCAGCTGTGGTCGTCTCTGAACAAGCCGCCTCCTATCCCCTCTCCTTTAATTCCTCTTAATTTTAATAGATTTATTTATTTATTTATTTTTGGCTGCGTTGGCTCTTCGTTGCTGTGCGCGGGCTTTCTTTAGTTGCGGTGAATGGGGGCTACTCTTTGTTGCACTGCGCGGGCTTCTCATTGTGGTGGCTTCTCTTTGTTGCTGAGCCACGGGGTCTATGTGCGTGGGCTTCAGTAGCTGTGGTTCACGGGCTCTAGAGCGCAGGCTCAGTAGTTGTGGCGCACGGTCTTAGTTGCCCCGTGGCATGTGAGATCTTCCCGGACCAGGGCTCAAACCCGTGTCCCCTGCATTGACAGGCGGATTCTTAACCACTGCGCCACGAGGAAAGCCCCAATTCCTCTTAATTTTAAGGGTGTAATTGCAGAACAAATGGATATTAGTGACGGAGCTGAAGGGCACATCAAATTCTTGGCTATTTCCTACTTTTTGTGAGACTTTAGAAAATGTAACTGTTTTAAAGTAGGTAGGCCCTGCAAAGCTGCAGGAAAAAGTCCAAACATTTCTGCCTTGGAGATGGAAATTTACACCTGTTCGTTGGCATAGATCTAAAATATAGCAGAGGCTATAAAAAGAAAGCTTTTGGAGAAATAAGATTCCTGGTGGGGTATTTTTTTTTTCAAAATGCTGAGTTAGCGTCTTCTCTGGTTCTCACTGTATCTTCAGAGATCTTCATTTCTTATATGTAGTACATTCACCACGTGATGATGCGACACACATTTGATTGCTGAGGAAATCGCTCAGTGCATGGAACCCCACGATGTTGGATGTAGTCTTGATTCTGTGGGATGCAACTTGTATATCATTTTTAGTACCTCTCAACAAGCCTGGGGATAAATAACAGAATCAACTTGCCACAAAATGTAAAGTTACAACTAGCTACGAATAATCAAATGTTTACTATGTGCCAGTCACTGTACTGTGTTTTATAAGCTTAAAATTAATCCTACATCTATGCAAAGGAGGCGATACCGTTGTTATCGCCATATTACGGATGAGGGAACTGAGGCACAGAAAGGCTGAGAAATTTGCCCAACATAGTGGGAGCAAGGTTTTGACCCCATACTGTCTGACTCCAGAGGTTCTAAGTCACTATACCACGCTGCCTCCCGCTATCAAAAAAGACTGGGCGACTGGAGGGAGGTGAGAGTTAAACATCTTATATCTGAAAACTCCAGCCAGCGAATTGATTTCATTTGAACATTTATCAATTACTGTTATACATTTAAATAACATTTAAAATTTTTTTAACTGAATTTCTAATTCATTTTAGCAGATACTTGAAGCTGATATTACAAAGTAGATGAATATTGTCTTCATATTTCATTGGTCATAGAGATATTAGGATATTTAATTCAGAATCCAAAGGAAGAGTGAGAATCGGAATTGGATGGGATTCAGGTTTACAGTTCTACCTGTACTGTGCCTAATGAAGAATAAGAACTGGTGTACTTGTAAGTCAGTCAAAAGAAGTTAGAGACGACTAACAAAAACAGACACTTAAGTTTCTGTTGGCATAACTCTATACCTGGTATTTCTCCCATTGCCACTGCTTTTTCCTAAATTGTCATAATAGTTTATACTTCTTACCGGTTTATAGAAAATCAAGTCTTCTTTGAAACTGCATACGTGCCCAATCTAAGCACATATGGGTATCCTCCTTGGGCTTTCTGCTAGGTTGGGAAGGCATTTTCCTTCTGTCCAAATGGTATTTCCATTGACAGGAGATGTAGAGTTCTCTCAATGGCCTATTGCTGGGTCTGAGTTCTTTTATTTTATATACACCCACAGAGATATCAAGCTCATACTGTAATTCAAAGGAAATAATAGAGTAGAAATATATATTTGAACGTTACTAGGTTAGGAGCTTTAAGGGGACCTAGATAGGCTTTTCCAGTTAATTATTGGCGAAGGTGAACATTCATGTCAACAGAGGGGGTGGAGTGGGGAAAGACTTTTTTTTTTTAACTTTTTATTTTATACTGGAGTATAGTTGATCAACAGTGTTGTGTTAATTTCAGGTGTACAGCAAAGTGATTCAGTTATACATGTATCTGTTCTTTTTCAAGTTCTTTTCCCATTTAGGTTATTACCAAATATGGAGCAGAGTTCCCTGTGCTATATATACAGTAGGTCCTTGTTGGTTATAAAGGAACCATAGGGTTTTGCGGAGAGTAGGAATTCCCATTCCCTCTAGTGATATTTGAGCAAATCAGGGACACATGGAATTCCTTTTTCTCAAAGCACTGACATCTGATTGTATCCAGCTCAGCCACCATTCAACTTAAGATTCCAAAGATCGACCTTAGGCTTTGAGGAAATCATGGTTTGAATCCTAGCTGCTTACTTAATTGTGGGTAAGATACTTACCCTCTCTGAGCTGCAATTACCTCCCCTCTCCCCATTGTTATAGATTAAATTACAGAAGAAATGTCAGGTGCCTAACACAGCTCCAGGCACATCATTTGAGGATTTTAAGGAGCTTGGCTGAGTGTCCAGCACACAGTAAATGCCGAGTAGGGGGAAGCTGCAGTTACTAATAATATTCAGGGTTGTTTCTTCTTTGGACCTTCTCCCACCCACCTTTGGCTCTTTTCATTGCTTCTTAGTACCTCTCCCAATGATTGGGGGGAAAAAAAGAAAGAGAGAGAGAGAGTGGGGTGGGGTGATGAAAAGCAGTCGGCCCTTTGGACAGAATAAATGGTGAAATAAATTGTTGAAATTAAGTTTAGTGATTACATGTGGATTTAATTTTCCTGTTTTCTACCTGTCTCCTATTATCATAAATAATCGAGAGTTTTATCAATAGCAACATCATTATCTTAATCAGGGACCCGTACATATGAACTGATTTTACGCTAACAACTGACCTACAACCCTTTCAGGAAACTAATATATACCCTTATTTAAAACAAAAACAAATAATGACTACCCTTGAAGTGTCCCCAGAGTTACTGACATTACATGTGGGTGGGATGTTTTTCCCAGAGAGAATGTATTTCAACCTGATTACAAGCCAGATTCATATCTAATTCTTGAGATTTTGCTGAATTCAGTAAACTCTCCTTTTCCTGTCATCTCCCATATTTCCCTATTGCTGTTTTGAAAGCTTGGCCCTTTGATTTAATTTCATCATTATATTTCAAGTATAGGAGTTGTCTGAAGTCCGGAGATAATTGTTATCAGACTTCTCTTGTTTAGAAAATGTCTTTGTTAGGAGAGGCACCCAGTGAGGTAGACTGAGGTTCTGCCACTTGTGACCTTGGGAAAGTTAACCTCTTGGGGCCTGTGTCCTCATCAATGCAGTGGGATTAACAGTACTTCCTGGGCTTTGAGGATGAAATGGGTTAGTATGTAAGAGTGCCACCATGATGCCTGATAATAAATAGTGGACCTCCAATAAATGTTCCTTCTCCTTTATACCTCCACCCCCTTGGTAAATTTAAATACCCGTTTGTTGGTAATAACGCTGTGCCTCTTGTGTTTTAAGGATGTGCTTTTGGGGGAAAACAATGGCTTTGGTCTTGTGAAGGATCCATGTTATTTGGCTGGCCCAGCATCCAGGTATGTATCTGTATTTATGATGCCCTCTACCTTATGAATGCTGCTGGAGTTAAATGCTTCTGTTCCTCTCTACCAGAAATCGAAGTGTGATATTATGACGTTTCATAGTGTCATGTGGCACCTCTTCAGTTTGTCTAGGCCATGGGGAGCTTTCTTTTTTATTTATAGATGACTTTCTCTAAGAATGATACTATTCAAAATAGGTTTTGAATGTGTGCTATTGAAGCAATGGTTGACTTCCAGTAAGTTTGGCATCAGAATAGTTGATGGATATGCTCTTCTCAAGTATATCCTCTGGCTCTCACACGTGGGGCCTCTCTTAAACGTGGCTGATCTCTTCTGGCTCTGTCCCAGAGGATCAGGTCTGCTGAATAAAGCACTACGGGAAGAATGAGCATCACGAACGGCCTTCACAGAACAAGACAAACTTGCAGGAATCACCTGAAGTAAAAGATAAAGCTCTAAAATCATTATTTTAGGCACTTAGAGATAGAAAATAGCAGGAAATTCATGTTTTAAAAGTTGCCATCAGAATCATTTCTCCTTGGTAGAAAAAATATAATGGACAATTTTTCAGAATTAGAATCTTTAAACTATTCACTTGGAGCTTAAGAAGTAGAAATTTCCAAAGAGAGTTTCCTCTGAACCACATGCCTGTATGTAGTTTTAATGCAGCATTATAGGACTATCTACTGTCATCTGTTATTACTAATGTTAATTTAAACCCTCCCTACTACCATCCATGTTTTTTCAAGCCAGTTCCTTAATTTTTACTGTTTCATTCAATCATTGTTTCCCTCTTTTTCTGGCATTCACCTTCTCGATAGCTCAACCTAATACTGCCAGCATGGTCAGGAAGTGGGTATTAGGGTACCTCCTTCACTGCCAAGAGCAGCCTTCTGTAGTTGGTCTTGCTCCTGGAGCTGTGCCTAAAGTGAAGCGGTCAAGGTGAGGCTGAGGACTTTAGTTTGGCTGCATTAATTCAAAGCTAGAGACAAGGGAAGACTAACAGTGAACTAGAGCTCTGCCAAAGGAGAGCTGGTCTGGGGCTTCCCTGGTGGCGCAGTGGTTGGGAGTCCGCCTGCCGGTGCAGGGGACACGGGGTCGTGCCCCGGTCCGGGAAGATCCCACGTGCTGCGGAGCGGCTGGGCCCGTGAGCCGTGGCCGCTGAGCCTGCGCGTCCGGAGCCTGTGCTCCGCGGCGGGAGAGGCCGCGGCGGTGAGAGGCCCGCATACCGCAAAAAAACAACAAAAAAGAGTGATGTGAACTTAGAAATTTATATAATGGAGTCCACTTGTAGGGGTCGCGAGGAAATAAGAGCACAAACAAATGGTGGTATAAGAACGCATGGCAGGGCTTCCCTGGTGGTGCAGTGGTTGAGAGTCCGCCTGCCGATGCAGGGGACATGGGTTCGTGCCCCGGTCCGGGAAGATCCCACATGCCGTGGAGCGGCTGGGCCCGTGAGCCATGGCCGCTGAGCCTGCGCGTCCGGAGCCTGTGTTCCGCAACGGGAGAGGCCACAACGGTGAGAGGCCCGCGTACCACAAAAAAAAAAAAAAAAAAGAGCTGGTCTGAAGTCTAAGGTGAAACTAAATTCAACCATAAAAAATAAAATTGCTGGATTCCAAAAAGGACTTGAATAGACATTTCTCCAAATGGCCAACAGGCCCATGAAAAGATACTGCACATCACTAATCATCAGAGAAATGCAAGTCAAAACCACACTCATTAGAATGGCTACAATCGAAAAAACATACAAGAACAAGTGTTGGTGAGGATGTGGAGAAATTGGAACCCCTGTGCACTGTTGGCAGGATTACAAAATGGTATAACTGCTACGGAAACAGTATGGAGTTTCCTCAAGAAATTAAAAATCTATCATATGACCCAGCAATCCCACTTCTGAGTATAAATCCAAAGAATTGAAAGCAGTGTCTTGAAGAGAGGTTTTCGTACCCATGTTCGAGGCAGCACTATTCACAATAGCAAAGAGGTGGAAGCAACCCAAATGTCCACAGATGGATGAGTGGATAAACAAAGTGTGGTATTTGCATACAGTGGAATATTATTCAGCCTTTAAAAGGAAGGAAATGCTGTCACATGCTACAACCTGAATGTACCTCGAGGACGTTATGCTAAGTGAAATAAGCCAGTCATAAATACTTGATGATTCCCCTTGTATGGTATCTAAAGTAGTGGAATTTATGGAGAAGTAGAATGGTGGTTACAAGGGCCAGGGGAGTGGCAAAAGCAGAGTTGTTGCTTAATAGGTACATAGTTTCAGATTTGCAAAATGAAAATGTTCTGGAGATCTGTTTTGCAACAATATCGGTGTATCTAACACTACTGAACTGAACATTTTTAAATTTAACATGAATTTAAAGTTAATTTTATGGTATGTGGGGCTTTTTTAAACCACATTAAAAAATGCTATGAAGGAAAAAAATGAGACTAATCAAACTTGATTCCTGGATACATGTCAATAGATGCTTGTCTCTCACACTCTATTATAAAAGAGACTGAAATAAAATCTTTATGATACTAGTCTTTATTCTTGGAAGACAATTACCAGGAAGAAGTATTCTCAACCAAACTAAGCATTTAACTCAACTATTACCTTCAAAAATATAGTTTTTTACAGTATGGTTCCTGTAAACTAGGAAGATTAAAAATGTTATATCAAAGTTTATTTGGGCTACATCTTTAAAAGATAAATATTATTTTATTGTGTGTTTTAGTGATGTCTCCCTTTTTTTCTTTTTTTTTTTTGCGGTACGCGGGCCTCTCACTGTTGTGGCCTCTCCAGTTGCGGAGCACAGGCTCAGCGGCCATGGCTCACGGGCCCAGCCGCTCCGCGGCATGTGGGATCTTCCCGGACCGGGGCACGAGCCCGCGTCCCCCGCATCAGCAGGCAGACTCTCAACCACTGCGCCACCAGGGAAGCCCAATGTCTCCCCTTTTTAAAAAGCAAAATGAAGGTACCTGAGTTGGTCCTTAAAACATCAGATTCCAGTTACTCCATGTCCTATTAGAGGATGCTAAGTTTAAAAATAGCTCATGGCCTGCAGTCTAAACAGCAGTTGGGCAGAAGAGACGTCATTTGTTCAACAGACATTTACTGAGAGGGTACTTTGTGCCAGGATCTGGGGATAGCAAAATGAATAAGACATGGGGGTAAAGAGCACCCCCAGTGCATCTCCTGCCCCTGGGTTTCTGGTGTACCCATCTGGGAACCCACCAAGGAGGACAGAATAGCCACTCTTGAATATTGACAGGCTTCTGGTAAAGAAACTGCTTCTAGATGAAAAGGATCTGTGATGGGAGGGGAGGGTATGCATCTGAGTGGAAGATGGGCCTCTTAACCATTTGCATTTATAGTAAAGAAAAAATAATGGCAGGAGAAAAGCTAATTTGGTTCTTTGTGGTCTTTTCCTTCTTTATGCTGCTTTGCCCTCACCTGGCACTTAGATGATTTCGTGGCAGGCCTGTGCTGGGGCTCTGACTTGGGACTGAGCCACAGCTCTCTCAGGATGCGGGTCTGTAAAATGAAAAATGCCATCTGCTCTCCAGATTCACTTGCACACTAGTCAGGGAGCTACAAATGTGGGATTTACAAATTATTATGGTTGTCTGCTGGAGATATTTTTAGCCTCACATTAACTCTTTTTTTTTTTTTTTTTTTTTGCGGTATGCGGGCCTCTCACTGTTGTGGCCTCTCCCGTTGCGGAGCACAGGCTCTGGACGCGCAGGCTCAGCGGCCATGGCTCACGGGCCCAGCCGCTCCGCGGCACGTGGGATCTTCCCGGACCGGGGCACGAACCCGTGTCCCCTGTATCGGCAGGCGGACTCTCAACCACTGTGCCACCAGGGAAGCCCCTATCCTCACATTAACTCTTGCATGGCAGGCAGGCAGTGCTAGAGACGTGTTTTCTTTGTTTTTGTTCTCCTTTTTTTCCTTTCAAACACGTTAACAAACGTATTGGAAATTGTTGGGTTTTTCCTTAGAGCCTAGAGGACAGCTGTTTAAACGACCGTGCACCCTATTTGCTCGTTATGGTCAGTCTCTTTCTCCAGAGGTAACTGCTTATTAGCTCCTTAGGTGAGACTCTCCCTTTCCTTCTTACTTTCCGTTTTAAGAAATGAAAACACTGGGAGACTAAGAGAAAGTTGTAAATAAACCCTTCAGATTCTGCAGCCCACGCAAATACTTTCCAAACAGACCTCCCCCGTGGGGCTCACACCTGTGGAGAATGAGGCAGCATTCTTTTCCCCAGAGTCAGGAGCTGGTTCCCAAACTAGTCCTAAAAGGAGCAGAAGAAACATACCTGCTCCTGCCTTTTATATCCTGAAGCCTGTCCTCAAAAGCTGCCTTGCATGGGGGGAGGTAGATGGGGTGATGAGAGGGTTAATAAAAAGAAATGCCTTGTGACCCCAGGCTTGCCGTGTGACATTTTCCTGCAGGAGTTTATGCCTACTTGGCATCTCATTTAAACTTGGTTCTTTGTATGAGCAGCCAAGGGAAGACAGTGTGCAGCTTCTCCGGGCTTCCTTCTCCCCATCAAATGCTTTTCCCGTCCACGTAATGCACCTTGGGCTCAGTGTTTGCCCCTTTTCTTCAGAGCTAACCTATGTGTCTGTATCCCACTCCAGGCCATTCAGCTGTTCCAGCCGTGAAGAGATGTTGTTGCTCCAACACCATCCCAGCCCTCGTTGCGGGGTTTCGGGCTGCAAAGCAGGTGGTGGTGCCTCCATTCCCGGCAGGGGTCTGGGACCGCTGGACCCCCCCAGGCAGGCCAGCAGAACGTCTTGCCCCCGGCCCCTGCCCTCAGGAGCGCAAGGGCATCTCCCGGACACCAGGGCTGCACCGCCGAGCTCAGCCCTGCCTGCCCCTGGCCCCTCGAGCTACTGCTCACAGGCCGCCGCCGCCCAGCCCTGCACCCAAGCCGGGACCCCCAAAAATGGCGGCCACTGGCCGGCCCAGCCTCCCAGCCCCGAGCGCAGGAAGGAGGAGGGAGCAGGGACGCGGCCCTCCCCGCCCTGGGTGAAGAGGGCCCACGCAGTCCGAGAGGACAGCCTCCCCGAGGACGGCACATCGCCTGGGTGCGCGAGCCCCAGGCACTACCCCAAGCCGCAGGCCCTCCCCAGCCCGAGCAGCACTTCTGACCCGGACACGCCCCTCGGGGCCCCGGGCACTCTGGGCAGGGTCTCCCTCCGGATCTCTGGGTCGGCCCCGCTGGCCTCCCTGCCGCCTCTGGAGGACAACGACGACGAGGTGTTCGAGAGGGACCTACGCTCCACCGCCTCTTCCGGCCCCGCCTGCGAAGCGCCGCCCCCGCCCAGCTGGGAAGCCCCGGCCCAGAACCTGGACCGCTTCCCTCCGCCTCCCCCTGAAGCTGTGTGCGAGGAGCAGTGGGACAGCGAGGACTACCGGGAGCCCCACGCCAGGTGAGAGCAGCCCTCCGCCAAGTTAAGGGTCTCCCTCCCCAGGAAGAGATTTCCACACTCCACGCTTCCCAGAGCCGCCTCTGCTGGCCACTGGAGAGCCCTGTGGAGGTTTTTTAACAGGAGCCCAGCTCACGAAACTGGCACAGCTGTTCCATTTGTTGACCTTGGTGGTCGTCATTTTAGTAGTCCTTGGGCGCCGAGGTGAGGTTCATTTCTGTGGATGTGGCAGGTTCAAAGAGTCCAAATAAACAGCATCCCTCTTCCCTGCCCAGAGTTCTGAACCCGTTAAGAAATAAGGCAAAAGAAAAAGGCATTCAGAAGACAAAAAAAAAATCACTTTTATTACTGAGAGAGCTGATCCTGGAGAATATGGCTCCTATCTGAGTATAAGTGGGCCTCCTGATACTGAGCCCCAAATTAAACAGGGGTGCCCACCTAGTCACAGGCTGTGCAAGACACACACACAGCAAGCACACGTGTGAACACGCAAGAGCAAGCCTGGAGGTAACCTTACTCTCTAAAGAAAGAGGCTGGACTAGGAATGGGCTGTGGTCAGCTTCTCTGCAGAGTCACTCTCTCTGTCCATAGGAAGGAATAAAAAGTAAGGCTGAAGGTCATTAACGTTTAGGGAAGACCTCTGCTTGGAAGCCAGGAGAATGAGGAAGAGGCATTTCCCAACATATACTCCCTAGGACAGCACTAAAATACGTTGTCTGATAGCACCCTTGTCGTAACTTCCCCTAAACACCACCTGTTCCCTTTCACTACCCTCTGTTCACTTTGATAAAGCTCTGGAATCCGAGAACAACATTCACCAAAACTGAATTCCTGCTACATCTGTCCCCCTTAAAAAGTCACACAACCTCCCTGTGACCAGCTAGTGGACTTAGTTGAAGGCCCTTTTGAACCCTGCCGTTTGTGGGGAATAACAACCCCAGAAACTCCTGATGTGTGTGGGAAGCTGCAGCCCTCGTGTGCAAATGTCTCCCTGCCTTCCTTCACCCTCCTGCTGACTCTTCTCTTAACCACTCTCTTTTAATACCCCTAGCAGCTCCGGCAAACTTGCCAAGGTGACAGTTGCCAAGGAAAGGCCCATCCCTGGTGCAGCCCATTTGGTTGATAGTCAGATACTGGCTTCCAGATCCCAAACTTCCATCAAGAGTTCAGAGGCCAATGAGACCAACCCACCCTCCACCACCGGTGCTCCGCCCCAGCCTGCCGGGTCTCTTAGCAAGCAGCCAAGCCCAGGGCAGCCACCTTCCATCCAGACCCAAAGCCTCAGCCACGACCCAGTCAGTGGGACTCAAAGTTTAGAAGAGAATGTCAGTTCTGGCCCTCAGAAGACCTCAGAAGACATGAGAACAGAGACTCTGGCCAAGGAAATTGTCCACCAAGACAAATCTCTGGCAGACATTTTGGATCCAGACTCCAGAATGAAGACAACTATGGACCTGATGGAAGGTTTGTTTCCACGAGATGCTAATCCGCTGAAGGAAAACAGCATAAAGAGGAAGGCCATGCAGAGAACTGTCAGCTTCCCAGGATGTGAAGCTAAGAGGTAAGTCCCTGGTCATGACCCAAAGAGACTTAAAATTGAACTCCTTCCATGGGGGTGATGATAAGTCTAGAACTGCTTATCTGAGGTTTTCCCGCTTCCAAAGATCCTGACCCCAGACTGACATTCCATCTCAGCCTTAGGGGAATGGCTCTGACCTACCTTGAGTTGTTTGCCCAGCAACAAGTAGTAATAGTAATTAGTTTACAACCTATCATTCACGTTCTCTGCGTCAAGCATTATATTCTTGATGTAAGCATTCTCTCGTTTAATGATCGCGAGAACCTTCTGAGATAGCTCCCGATTTTATCTCCATGTTACAAATGAGGAAACTGAAGCAGAGAGGACTGAGAAGCACGCCCAGCTGAAGTCACAGAACATGTGAGTGATGTTTTCTGCCTGCTCTCAGTGCTTATACAGTGCCCCCTAAAAACTCAGCGCACGTGCAGCTGCCCGTCCTGCCAGAGTTGCCCTTACAGAGCCCCACACGGGTCAGTGCTGAGGGAGGGGCGGGTGGAAGTGGTGAGCATACAGGGGCCTCCCCTCGGCCGAGGTGAACATGGTCTTGTAAAAAGCGTGACAGCCGAGAGAAACAGACTGACTTACTCCGCTGACATTCACCTCTGAAGAGGTAGGGTGGGCGTCTGCTCACATCCTGAACATCAGGAAGGGGCTGAACAGGAGTGCGCCCATGGTCTTGTTCAGCCGTGGGCCTGCACCCGAAGCTCCCTGAGCAGCGCGTTCCCCGTCCTGTAACGTGCATCCCAGCGCCTGCCCACAGCTGGTGAGAGGAACGTGAGCAGTCTGTATTTTTCCTCCTTTTGATTTCTCCCGGGTTATTGCAATATTTTCTTGCATGTTTGATTTCCTTAAGGGACTACTGTGGGAGAGATTTAGAATGGTTTTTATTTTCTTTTAAATTTTCAATGAAAACTGTATGGATCAACAGTCCGGAGCTCCAGTTAGTGGCTTCCAGACTACATAAAAGCGGAGAGCATTCCATCTGAATTTGGGCTTGCATTTTAGAAATTTCCAGCTGATCCTCGCTAAATTACTAACAGGAACACAGGGGAGGGGAGAAAGGAAAGAACTGCGTGGTACTTACAGGCTATCTGATAGGTTATCGGAGGCTCTCCTGAGACAAGCCCTCAGCAGTCACCTTGTCCAGCCCCTCCTTTTTCAGATGTGGCAAACAGAGACTAATTGAGGAGAAGTGACTTATCCAGGGTCATGTGTTTAGCAAACACTTCTTAAGCACCTACAATGTGCAAGGCAATCCACTGGGTATGCGAGGGACCCACAGATGAGTTTCTGTGGATGTGCCAGTCGGTTCACCACGGGTGGTTGTCCTCCAGTCACTCGCTATGGGAAGCCCAAAGTAATTTACAAGTACATGCTTAGAAAAGCATTTCCTGGCATTATCCATGAGAACATAGGTTTAGAAGTGAAATGGTCATGTAGCTTTTGCAGCACTGAGAGCTTCCTAAAGAATTGCAAAAGGATGGCATCGCCATCTTCTGGTAAAAATGAGCATTGTCCTTGTTGTACGTGAGACTGCGCCAATGGCCACTGTGAGGTTTAATCAGATAGATGTCCAAGAAGCCTATTTGTGAGGCAGTGGATATATGTTGGGGGGGGGGGGACTATATCAGAAGACCTTTTCCCCATCTTTTCAATTAACTAGATTAATATGCCTGTATTGTTTGGAGGAATAACCCCAGCAAGCGGGAAACTAGTAAAAACACCTTTTTGGTGGTTCTTTATTCCATAGTAAAATGATGGTCTAGATGTTAAACAATGTCACAAGATTACCTCTCCTAGAGAACCTAATTATGTCCATAGAGTCATTTATTCAGTGAGTAGGGCTTTACCTATAGAGTATGAAAGGCAGCTTGACTATAGTAAAACAAAGAGCATAGTTATTCAGGTTTCCAACTTCTAGTTTGTTCTCCAGCCTTGAAATCCCCCTGCTGTGTAATCAATGAGTAGATTTTACATCTTGTATCCGTTCACTGTTGACCAGCAAGCTCCAAATTCCAGGCTTACATAGAGCCTCAGGCTTACATGAAAAGGAAAACTGGTAGGTGTGCAAGCAACAATTACAGTAGACGTCAGAAACATTATGGGTAACATGGAAGAGTAGGAAGTAATTAACCTAAAACCTGAGACTTGTGCAGCACCTTGAAAATACTTTCACAGTGACTAAGTCGAGGCTCCCTGTTGTCTTTCTGTGAAACAGGGAGTCAGTATCATTCTTTTTATCACAAAAGGAGAAACATGCAGAGAGGTTAAATGTCCGTAGTCCTGACTCCCACTCCCCTTCCCAATATTGCCCTTGGTGGTTTTCCATCCCGAGTATGCTGGCTTCAAGAGCCCCACACGTTAGTAGGCAGTCACTAGTAAATACCTATTAGTCCATCCTAACTTCTGGGAAGATACTGAATATAATTTTTTTACACATTTCCGAATGGACAAACGTATGGTGAAATTAAGCTGCGTGTGGCTGTACTTTTTGTTCTTTCTGACCCAGGAGTGAAGACAAGGAAGCAGCGGGCATGTTGGTCAACTGTCCTGTCTACTACAGCGTGTCTGCTCCCAAGGCCGAGCTTCTGAACAAAATCAAAGCTATGCCAGAGGAGGTGAATGAGGAAGAGGAGCCGGCAGACATCAACGAAAAGAAGGTAAGGAAAGAAATGGGGGGCTTCCCTGGTGGCGCAGTGGTTGGGAGTCCGCCTGCCGATGCAGGGGACGCGGGTTCGTGCCCCGGTCCGGGAAGATCCCACATGCCGCGGAGCGGCTGGGCCCGTGAGCCATGGCCGCTGAGCCTGCGCGTCGGGAGCCTGTGCTCCGCAACGGGAGAGGCCACAACAGTGAGAGGTCCGCGTACCGCAAAAAAAAAAAAAAAAAAGAAATGGGGGCCTTTGTTCTGCTCCCCCCAGAAAGATAGTCGAGGTCCTAGCAGGGTTATTGGCCCCTTACAGCAGGAGGGGAAAAGGCCTGTCACATCACCAACCTCGCCAGACCATCACGAGATTCTCGACTTGCAGGGCACTTGGAGCAATTGCCTCACAGCTCTCCTGTTATTTTTGTTTTTACAAATGACAAAAGTGAAGGTTAGAGGGATTAAGGTATTTCCTACAAGTCACATAGCTGCTTCCTGGTCTAACACAGGGACCCCAACACCGTTCTAAGGCAGCTGACCGGCCAATGTCAGTGGTCTGCAGAATTTTCATTTCATGTTTCGTGGTCAAAAGGAAAACTAGAAAACCTAGAAACTCTAAGGAAAGAGAGACCGATTGTCAAAAGACACTTCCAAGAAAAGGAAGTGTTCCTCTTTAGATTTTCCAACTCTCTTTGTCATACCTCAATAAACAGCTTGAAAGCACAGTATTGGAACTTAGTTGTTAGCATTTGCTGCTCCTACAGAAATTTTAAATGTAAAGCATTTTAAGAATGATCATACGCCATGGAGATCTAAGCCTGGCTGTGCCCAAAGGGGAGAAAGTTCTTGCCCGGCTGCTTTCCCTACAGCCCCAGATGGGTTGTCTGCCACTGTGCTCACAGCTCTTCATACAACTCAGGCCTACATGCTGAAAAGGAAAGGACTCTGTTAAAGCTTGCCTGATGCTGAGCTGGGAACGTAAGGGCTTCTCAGTGGTGCCAATTCCAGGAGAAACTTTCTTACGTGATTTCTCTTTTGTTTATTCTATAATATGTGTCCTAAGCTCTCTTGTTTATGTGTTGGAATGAGACCACAGGATATAGACTGTGGGAGCAGGGAGCAATGGGGCAGGAGGATTGAAGGATTTTAGAAGCACCTCCGTCAGTGGTATTCTTCTCCCTTCTACAGTCCCAGCCTCGTTGGGCTCACAGTGCATGGCTGACATGCTGATACAATGCAGCTGCTGTTCGTAACGCATGCTCTCCCAGCCCAATTTCCCCATGTACACGCCTGCTTCATAGCACGCCTCCTGGCTCCCACTTAATGGGATTGGGGGGAAAAACCACATTGCTATAGTCTGTCTACATTTATCCCAAAGAGGGAGCTATAATAAACACCATTGTAAGTACTAAGTTGCCAGGACATCTTTTTTTTTTTTCTTGCGGTACACGGGCCTCTCACTGCTGTGGCCTCTCCCGTTGGGGAGCACAGGCTCCGGACGTGCAGGCTTAGCGGCCATGGCTCACGGGCCCAGCCGCTCCGCGGCATGTGGGATCTTCCCGGACCGGGGCACGAACCCATGTCCCCTGCATCGGCAGGCAGACTCTCAACCACTGCGCCACCAGGGAAGCCCTGCCAGGACATCTTTAACTGAACATTTTACAGTTTTTTGTTGTTTTGTTTTTTGCACGTAGACATACCCTGCTCTACAGTAGCAGTGTGGCAAACTACTTGTTGCTTTTTCCTCCCCATCTTAATTTTACTTTTTAACTGCTTTTTCATCACTTTATTATCACCCTCTCGCTCTGAGGATTACGTGGCAAGAAGTATTTTTAGCCTGAGAACACGAAGGAATAAGAGGATTAGTCCTCACAGGAAATGACAGTAGGTACCATTTGTCAAGCATTTCTTAATCCCGGATGTGGGCTATGGTTCTTTTTACTTAGTGCCTTATTAGCTTCTTTACACAAAACTGCTCTGATGCCAATATTGTCACATTTTACGCTGAAGTAATCAGAGTGAGCCAGGACAAGAAGAGAAGGAGGGGACACTCAAGACAAAGGGAACAGCGTGGGAGAAGAGGTAGTTGTGTGAAAAAACATGGAGAGCGCATATGTATTGAAGAAAGATACTTCCAGGAGGTCTGTTATTTGGGAATGCATTATAAAATAAAGTCTCATGATTAAATTAGAAATTACCAAATTTAGAGAATAACAAAGGCCATGAATGGCAGGAGACAAGGCTGGGGGGATCCACGGGGGCAGGTCATGGAGGTCACGTGGGGCTTTGTCTGAAATGCCAAAGAGTTTGGATTTTACCGTGTGGTAGTGGAGAACCCTATGAGATTTTTTGTTTTAAGCAACTAACTACAGGTTTATTAACGTGTAATAGAATTTGTGTCACTTGCATTTACATAATCTGATCTGGAAAGAGAGAAAATATGCAGGCTTTAATTGATGTTGTTGAAGGCAACTATTAATATATTCAGTGTGAAGTTGAAAACGCAGTTCTCTTCCCAGTATATAACAAGCTTTTATGTTCCCTAAGGATGGTTTTAAAACATGATGCTTGGACAAGATGGTTCTAAGGCAGAGTGTAGCCTTCTACCAACTTCTGCAAAGTAATAATTTGTTGCCTAATGTTTAAAGTTAGTAAACCTAAGATGTATTTCTGCGCGTGAAACTAAGAGTGAATGGAAACTAGAATCCTGATTTATTAATATTTTGAAACTAGCATTTCCAATCCGTTCTACTTTAATATACTTTTTATTTATATATCCTAGATGATGAATTATAATATTCCAAGTAAATATATGTATTACTTAAAATATAAAACAGTCACTCTCTGAACTTCTGACATACATAAAATCTAAAGACAGTTTAATACTTAGGGCTTTCAATTCTTTGGCTAAACCTGCCATATCTATTGGGCAAAAATCTGCCTAACCAGATCTCATGATTCTCTATTCTGAAGGCCAAAAGGCTTTGGCTTAGAAACTTAGTGGAATATTTCAAAAGGCAAAAAAATCTGTTATTCCTCGGAACTGGCTTTCCCCACAAGATCATTAGTGACCCACATGGGTCTCAGCTGCCTGTTTCCATCGCTTTTGCTTTATTCTTAAAGTTTTCCTCTGGTCTGTCTTCTTTTCAGCCTGAAAAACTTCCTTTGGCATTTCTTTTTTGAAGCATTTGTCTGCTGGTGACAAATTCTTTTAGTTTTCCTTCATCTAAGAATGTCTATATTCTGTTGTCATTTCTAAAGCATTTTTACTAGATATTGAATTCTGGGTTGACTATTCTTTTTCTTTTAGCACTTTAAAAATGTCCCATTTCTTCTTGCTTCCATGGTTTCTGATGAGAAACGCACAGCCGTTGAATACTTGTTCCTCCTATATGCAATGTGTTGCTTTTCTCTGGCTGCTTTCAAATTTTTTATCTTTGATTTTCAACAGTTTGGTTATGATATGTATGGGCCTAACTTTCTTTGATTTATCCTGTTGGGGTTTACTAAGCTTCTTGATTCTGTAAACTTATGTCTGTCTTTCACTAAATTCAGGATGTTTTTAGCCAGTATGTCTTCAAATACTTCTTTACGTGCTAATCTCTTTCCCTCCTTTTGGAACTCCAGTGACACAAATGTTAGACCTTTTGATATTGTCCTGCAAATCTCTGAAACTTTGCTCCTTTTTTTTTTTTAGGGCTTTTTTATTTTTGATTATTTATTTATTTTGGCTGCTTTGGGTCTCTGTTGTTGCACGCGGGCTTTCTCTAGTTGCGGCGAGCGGGGGCTATTCTTCATCGCAGTGCGCGGGCTTCTCACTGCAGTGGCTCCTCTTGTTGCGGAGCACGGGCTCTAGGCACGCGGGCTTCAGTAGTTGTGGCTCGCAGGCCCTAGAGTGCGCAGTCTTCAGTAGTTGTGGCATGTGGGCTCTAGGGTGCTCGGGCTCAGCAGTTGTGGCGCACGGGCTTAGTTGCTCCGCGGCATGTGGGATCTTCCTGGACCGGGGCTCGAACCCGTGCCCCCTGCATTGGCAGGTGGATTCTTAACCACTGCGCCACCAGGGAAGTCCTGTTATGTTTTTTAATGTTTTCTGTCAGTTCATTCAGATTGGATAATTTCTATTGATCTATCTTCAGTTTCACTGACTTTCCTGCCTCTATTCTGCCAGTGATTTTTTTTTAATTTTCAGATATTATAGTTTCCAGTTCTAAAATTTCCATTCACTTTTTTTGTAGTGTCTGTCCATTTCAAGAGTGTTTACTTTCACCATGGAGCATAGCTACAAAAGCTATTTTAAAGGCTTTTATCGTCCCGTTTGGGTTATCTCAGGGTTAGCACCTGTTGGTTATCTTCCCCTGAGAGCTGTTCACATTTTACTGGCTCTTTTCATGCTGGGTAATATTGTACCTGAACATTTTGAGTGTTATGGTGTAAGTCCTGGGTTCTGTGAAAATCCTCTGAAGAAGGTTGATTTTTTTGTTTTGTTTTAGCAGGCAGCCTAGTTAGGTTCAGGCTACAAGTTCTGTCCCACCTCTGGCTGTTGGTTCCAGTGTCAATTCAGTTTTCAGAGCCTCTGCTGTCTTGTATGTGACTGTCCTACACGGCACCTTTCAGGGCTGAGCCTGGGACTTGGGTGAGTTGTTCTGTCACAGTTCAGTTCTCAAAGCCGTTGCCGTGCTGCTTTGGGTCTGTCCCACACACGTGCAGCTCGAGGGTGAGCCCGGACCTAAGGCAGTTCAGACACTGAATTAGGGGGTCTGCTTTTCCTGCTCTCTCCTGTCCAGTATTCCACCAGACCCCCCCGCCCCACTCCCAGCTCCCAGCGGCCCCTTTACCTGGTCCTCTGGCTGGAAATAGGACAAGTTCTTGTGGTGTCACGGCAGCCTGCACGGCCGTGCCATTCTGCACAGCTGGGACTATCCTCAGTAGAGAAAAATAGTGCGGATTCCCCTCACACTCTTCGGTCCATGGGGTCGTTGTCCCCGTTCCTCTGGACAGAAAGAAGGGTGTTCTCTTGGG